TAAGTCTGGTTTGTTAAGTCTGTGTTTGAGTGGTGTTAAGTTTGTGTTTTGTATTTTGTTAAGTTGAGTTTTAATTTTCTTTTTAAAAAATATAATTTATAAATTAATTATTTAATTAAAATAATTTAAGTTACCATTAAATTATTTGACTTTATTTTAAATAAGTCAATTTTATTACGAAATTAGGAAGTACTATTTTAAGGATATATAAAATATTTTTAATACATTTATCCATCCAATTTTTTTTTCCAATGATTAATTTTTAAAACAAATATTCAATTATTTATGAAAATACTTTTGAAGTATTTATCAAAGTTTAAACAAGAGTATACAAATTCATTAGACATTAATTTTACCGTAGAGAAAATGTTATCCATAATTTTTTTAATTTTTCACTATTTACTATCTTAAGTAAATTTGATTGCTTAATTATTCTAAAAAAAATTGATTACTTAGGCCGTTTGATAACTATTTCTGTTTTTTGTTTTTGTTTTTTTGTTTTTTGTTTTTTAAAAACAAAAATCATGTAGGTTTGATAACCATTTTTTGTTTTCTGTTTTTAAAAAGTTAGAAAATTGAAAATATATATTAGAGAGAAAATTATATCTAGAGTAGGGATGACAATAGTGTGGGGCGAGATTGAAGATGCGCTCCCTCATTCTCGTACTCGTGAAAGTTTTTAGTCCACCATCTCTACCTCGTTATTCGGTTCGGGAATCCATAACCATATTAAAGAATCGTTATTTTGGAAGGGGAATATTCGTAGGAAAAATTACCGGTTTTGTAATTAATTTTAATTATTTTTAGAATTTAAAAAAAGTTTAATAAATATATATGAATTATTTTTAGAATTATTATTTACTATTTTAAATAATTAGATTTAAAAAAATATTTAATATTTTATTCACAACCTAGTAAATATGTTAATAAAAAATATTAATTATTAAAAAAATAGCATCGGGACGGGTTTGGGATAATATGCATTTCTTATTTTTGGAGCAGGGACTCGACCCTAGGAAATTTTTATCAACCCTAATATAGAGACATGAAATACTAGTTTAGACGGATGAAAATAAACTTTTTAAAGAGAAATTTTGAAGAGAAAAAGGAAATTAGTGAAAGAAAATTTAAAGACAAAAAGAGAAATTTTTTTTAAAAAAAATTAAAGTTGAGAGGAAAATATACGTTAAAGAAAAAAAGAAATTAGAAAGAAAAAGAAAAATTTTAGTGAGAAAAAATTTAAAGGTAAAAATAAGATTCGAAATATACTTTTTAGAGAAAATAAATAAATAAAAAGATCAATAAAAGTTATAGTAAAAGATAATTGAATGGAAAAAATAAGATATAATTTTCAAAGGGAAAATAGATTAAGGAGAAAAAGCAAAGTTTTAAAAAATAAAATTACATAGAGAGAAAAAGTTCGAGGAAATATTAATTTTTTAGAGGGAGAAATGAGAGTGTTTTGTTAGAAAAAAATAAAGATACATAAACATGAAAATTTTGAAGAAAGAGAAATAGTAATAAATATTTAAAATAAAAAATTTTAGAATGAGAAAATTTTTTGTTAGAGATAAATATGAGAAAGAAAAAAAAAGTTGAGTATTAGATTTTGAAAAACATAAATAAGCTTTTCAAAACTACTTTTTTTTGTTTTTGTTAAAGATAATCTATTCAATTTTCTGTTTTTTGTTTTAAAAAACCATTTCGAAATCATCCGTAAATCAGTTTTTGAAAACTACTTTTTTTTTTTGTTTTTTTCACCCTTCAAAGTCTTTTTAGTCTCCCATTAATAAATGAAGCTTTACTTGAGAGTAGTTTGACGTATAGTTACTAATTGATGAATGACTTGCACTAAATGAAATTTGAGATTCATTTAAGTTCATTTAATGCAACTTGAGTTCCTTAAATGTAATTTGTTTCACTAAATGTATAACTTTAAACCATGTTTACTTCGAGAGAATGAGAATCAATTTTTTTATTACCTTTTGATGGTGTTTACCAAATTGTTGGAAGAGGAATCAAATGGTGGGACCCACCCATTTTTTTATTCGCTTTCTTTGAAAATGGGCAATTTCATTCATCTCCTACACCCTCATCAATCCTATTTTCATTCTTTATTTTGTGGTTCCACACATTTATTTCAATTACTTTTCTACCTTTACTATTTCTCTCAAATGATTAATGAAACCTATAATTTTTTATTTAATTATTTTATACTTTGTTTTATTTCTTTATCATTTATATTACTAATAATTTTTCTTTTATTAGAAATTTATATCTTTTATTTGTTGATGATATTATTATAAAATATTTAATTTATATTTAATTTTTAAGTTAATTTTGTTGTTATTAATTAATATTAGATTTTAAAAATATAATTCATTATTATTTAATTATTATAATAATAAAATTTAATAACATTATTATTAAACATTATTATAATAAAATTTAATAATATTTTATATTAAATGATAACGGTTCTAATCAAATAGTATCTCAGTGGATGTAATTTTATTTTAATGCTTTATTATTTATTAATATTAATATTAAATAAATTATTTTGGTAAAAAAATATTTACTATCAATAATATAGTAATAAAAAAAATTAGTATAGTTATTAAAAAAATTAGCAACACAATGCATTTATGATTATCTAGAAAAAAGACACGGGTATATTAGTAATTCTCATATATCTGATTCTGATTCCGATTCCAGACAGTTTTAGATTCCGACTCCATAAAATTTCTCTGGTAAACAGCATCAAAGGAATAACATTTCCATTCCGATTGATTTGATTCTGATTGATTTTCATTCTGATTCCTAGTATGTAAATAGGATTTGAGTTAAAAACTTCACTTCAACTTCACACGTTTTGACTCTGAGGATCATTTACTGCAACTCCTCCCTTGAGCTTTACTTGAAAAAATGTTGAGTAGAAAAGCTCCATATCTTTTTTGACCATTCCTAATCGAGTTTACTAAGTGTTGCACAATGAGAAAATAAAGCTTGTTGAAGGTTCTTGGCTTGTGATCTTATTACGAGAACTTGAGGCATGACAATGAACGTTCCTTAATTCACACCAGATAAGTACTTTTAGTCGTGTCAAAAGTATTTTCAAATATAATTTTAATCTAATTTTATTCAAGATACTAATTCTAAAAGCACTTCAAAACACTCTTTTACTAGTATATAACTATACATCAAAATAGTTTGTTATAAAATGTGAAGTACTTTCTAATAAAACTAATAATTTTATGTACACTTAATTAACTATATATTTAGCTGTATTGAATGAACTAACATGGGATGGGTTATTTATTAGAAAAATAAAACTTTTGCTATCGTAAAACATTAAAAAAATAAATATAAAATTAGTGGGTCAAACGATGCATCTACTAATAGTTAAATAAAATTTAAAAAAATGTGTAAAAGCACTAATAAATCAACGAAAATTTAAGGGAACGCTAATGTAGAACCCAACACGTCAATAAACAAAATTCTCGTCCCTTGGATCATACTGAATCTCTCAATTAAGTAAATCAACGGCCTAGAAACATGAAAACACTACACCCGCGTCACACCATATCCTGGCTCCGCTCCAAATATCTCGTCATGGTCGGTTTGTCTCTGCTTTAGATTAGAACTAGAATTTTTTTTTAGGCACTAAGCTTTCTTCGTAATTGTTAGGCTAAATTACAATAGGAAAAAAGAAAAAAAAATCCCGTCTGAAAAACACTTCTATTTCCAAAAGCTTCAATGCTATCTGTCTATTTTAGAAATGCAAATATTTTTTGAGCAAACATATTTCAAAATATGTCACTCGTTTTTTAAACTTTTAAATATAGCAAAAATTTTCACTGATATAAACCGTATATCATATCAGTAGTATATCAGATATTCATATCAGCAGTAGTGTATTAGATGTATATCACATACACATTATACAAACATTCGTGTCAGTAGTATATCACATACGTATTGCAAGTATTTCAGACACTCGTATTAGTAGTATATCAAATGTATATCACATACATATATTAGTAGTCAGATATATTACAAATATATTACAGATATATTACAACTATATTACAGATATATAATTTGGGTACAGTTATCATTTTAAAATTGGACCAACGTTTTTTTTAATTTTAAAAGTGCATTGAAAAAACTAAATGTGGTTGCTATTTTGCTAAATGTTTTTGACATGTTTGCAACTATCCCTTTTATCTACTTCTAAACTAGATTTCGTCCTGAAATATTTTTCCTCCATCAAATAGAGTTTACTTCATTAATATTTTGAAAGAAAAGTTGACGTGAAAGAATCTAAAATGATGCAACATTAACGTAAAAACTTATCTCACATTTTATCTCTTTTTAGACTTGATTTTGTCCTGAAATATTTTTCCTCCATCAAACAGAGTTTACTTTGTTAATATTTTGAATGAAAAGTTGACATGACAGAATATAAAATGATGTGACATTAACATAAAATCTTATTTCACATTTTATCTGCTTCTAAACTTGATTTTGTCTTGAAATATTCTTTCTCCCTTCAATAGAGTTTGCTTCTCACAACAATACTTTCTACCACATCCCCTTTATTTTCTGATTTAGTTAAAGTATTTTTGAAATGCTGATCAAAAGTTGGTAGTAATATTAAAACTTCTAAAAAGATAAAAGTATTTTGTAAACTTCAGGGTATTTTTGTAATTTAACCTCATTGTAATATTCGCATTGGCCGAGGCTATTTTCGTACTTTCATATTCATGTGATGATGTATGATGTATCCATGGATATGTATGTGCATGTGCATCAATCAGGCAAGAGGGAAGACAAAAATATCAGTGCCACGTATGCAGTAATCTCGAGCTCACAGCCCTTGTAAAGATCTCCTCTCCCTCTCTCTAAGCTCACAGCCAAGGTAAAGATTCTCTCTCTCTTCCTCTTTTTCTCTCTCTAGAAGGTATATTCTTCCTGTGTTCTGCAAAAGTAATTTTTGGTGGAGAGAGAGAGAGTTACTGTTTGTCAATTTTTCTTGGTGATGCAAAATTGCATTTTAGAGAAAGCCGTTGTTTCGTTTTCTTTCTTGTTTTGTTCTTCTTGATGCTTGCTTCTGATTCCATTATGGTGAATGTTTTGTCGTAGTTTGATTAGGAAACGAAAGGGTTAGTTGCTCATGTGGGAATTGTTTGTGATTTGGTCTAAGTTGTTTTGTTTCTTCATTTTAGATTCGTTGTTTTCTGGGTTTTTATTATTTTAATTTTACCATTGCATTTCATCTTGCAGAAGACTGGTTTTATTCTGTTTCTGGCAATTGGGACAGCATATGCAGGATCTTGAACTTGGGTATTTCTCTCAGAAACTTGGGCTTGGAAAATCTTGATTGAAGGGACCTGCCGTTTGACTTTGGATTTTGTAATACATCTCATTAAGTCATTTTTGCAATTTATCGCTGGTCGAAATTGCTTGTGATCTTGGGATGTTGAATTATGACATTTTGATTCTGGACTGGTAGCTGATGAGAATGGAGTTTGTGTACTTATCTCGTTGGTTTGTTGGCAATTGAAGAGAGGTAGCTTGAAGGGCAAGTTATAGAAATTAGATGGCAACTTCAAGTGAGAGATGGATCGATCGACTTCAATTATCGTCCTTGTTCTGGCCTCCCCCAGATGATGATCAGCAACGAAAGGTACAGGAACTTTCATGATTTATATCTGAATCATTTTTTAATTTAAGGATGGTACTTTCCCTCGTAATCTTACATTGTTTTTTCTTATACTGAAAGTTAAATAGTCTGTTCTTATAACTCGTTAGTGAGCCTGAAGTTGTTTTTATCATCCTTCAGAAAGCTGCCGACTTCTTGTTCATTAATGTCTTTATTGGTTCCTAAAATCTTTTCTGCCTATCGGTATTTTGGCACGATAATGTTTTATGATGTGATTTAATCCTTTATCACATTGAGATGTCTTGAATAGATCATAGAATTAGAACATGCCTTAAAGGTGACAAATGGGATTGGAACAGTAAACAAACATTCTACCTGCTTTGTCAAAATAAAATATTACATGCTCAGGGAATACATATTTGCAAACTTCTGTTTGAAATTAAATACGTTTAATTTATGTACATCATACATTATGCATGAATGCTTCTTAATTAGATATAAATGTTTTTAGTCTTTCTTCCTTTTCATATTATCAATGAAAAGTTTGTTTACTGTTAAAAAAGGAAAAAAGATATACATGTTTTTAGTGTTTTGAGGTTCCTTAGATGATGACATATATGTATGTATTGGGTCGGTTTGGGAGGAGTAACAAACTAAGTTTATGTTTTATGACGAATTCAAAGCAAGTTAAAGACCCCTAAAACTTCTCTTTTGTGTCATCACATCTTGGTGGATTTTTTTGCTTGAAGTTAGCTTGATGCTATTGTTGGCTTTTGATATCACTCTTATTTTGATTGTATTGCTCATTGTCGAGCCTATATTTTGCTTTCATATTTTCTTTTTTCTCTCACTCTTATGGGAGTTTGTATTCTTGAACTTTTTCAAATGCAAGTATTTTGTTTATCCTCAAATATTTCTCGTTAATTTTCATTTGTGTGTGTCTGCCGCATGCTTCCAACAACTTCTGTACTTCTCTGCTTGATTTGGGCACAGAAGAACTAAGAGCAGAATAGCAATAAGATGCTATTTTCATGAAAAGTAGAGGAATATGACTGCAACGATAATAATGAAATACTTTATGAAATGGTCCTCTGGATTATGTAATTGATGCCTGATAGGCTTCCAATAATGAAAGTTTAAGGGAGGAGCAGTAAAATGTGGAAATATAACATCTGAAAGCACATATATATTAGGTAGGATGCAAGCGTGAGGAGTGTGGAATTTTGTGAGTTTTTGTAGGGGAGAGAGGCAGGCTCTCTCAAATTGGCTTAGCTGCAACTTATATTGTTCAATGGTCACCTTTTTGCTGTACGCTATTTTACCGGTATTAAAATTCTCTTCCACCTGAATCAGACCTTCCGAGTAGTCCAAGAGGTTTAGGGTTTTGTACTTGGGGTAACCTGATTGAAATGGAGAGATGGTGTCTGGGGAAACCTTTCTGAGCCTAGAAGCTAGAGCTTTTTCTCCGTAGTTTGGCTGATTTTTGAAGCTTTTTTAAGCTCTCAAGGAGTATCTTTATCGTCCTTTGGTTTTTTAACAGTGCTTCTCGGTGTTGATCTTGGTTTGAAGGAGTTTCTATGGAAGGGCCTCTTCTTATTCCTTGGCTTTTCATCCTTTATGGTGGTTCTCGGTCTTACTGGAATAATGTTGGATCTCGAAGAGTTGCTTATATAAGTTCCCCTCATTTTAGAGGAGCTTATATTTTTTTGAACAAAATACGAACTTTTCATTGATAAATGAAAAGGAACAAAATTGTTCAAGGATAGAAACTCCATTTGGTCTTTGAAGAGTCCATTTGGTCTTCTTTTTCAAGGTATTCTTATGCCTTCTCCTCCGATTGTTTCAAAGGATGACATAGTTCTAACTTTCGTGTTGAAAAGCGATGCAGTTTTCTGGAAGATTTTGAAGATTCTTGTTAGAGCATATATATTAGTATATTTTATATTCTTGTAATAATATGTTTTAATTTGTCCTTTACCTTCCTCTTCTAGATTAGATCAACCTTGTATATTTGTCTATATATATAGACTTCAGTAATGAGAATAATCTTTATTTGGTTCTCTTAAACCTTAGTTTCTACATGGTATCAGAGCCCTAGGTTTCCTCTAAATTTTTTTTTAATCTTAGAATTTTGTGCCCATTAGGGTTTTGTGCCCATTAGAGTTTGTGCCTATTAGGGTTTTGTTGAAACACCCTACCTACCATTGCCGCCGTTGCTCGCCACTGCCATCGCCCGCCGTTGCCGTTGTCGTCGCCCACCGCTGCTGCTGTCACCGCCGCCC